ACCCCAAATCTTGCCGTCGTTCGTTAAGGCGATTCACCGTCTGGGGGGTAATTCCTCACCGTTCTATCTGACGTCATGCTCGTTAATCATAATCAGCAATTATAATCATAATCACTCAGTCCGATGCCGATCACATTGCCAAACTACGAATATGGCTCGAAACAATGCTGTGTACCTAAGATCTTGTGGTGCAGATCCGAGAGTAAATGATTTGCAAGGAACGATGACGGTCTCGTGAGGAGAGTACAGCCACTCATCGATCGTGACACGCAGTCATGCCTATTAAGCACTCGGCCTCTGACATTCGTTGAACACTCCATTTGTGGATAGCCGAACGCGGTATCGATCTCGCGAATCTCTGTCGCGGAAAAATATTGATTCAGTTGATTTTGGACAGGGAAACTATACGTAAGATACACATGATTCGCGAGCTCGACGGTGTAGGAAAGTTTCGACGTCCAGGCCATAGTTTATCAGCACTGATGAGGAACAAAATTCCTCTTTCTCCGTGTGTCTGTCAACGTTCGGCCTCAACTGCTCGAACGTCTATCTTAGGATTCGGGGGCACTGAGCTTTATTCGATTCTTCGTCGCGAACGTCGTTGTGGTGGTGGAAGCGTTGCCGCGGACAGCGACGTTGAGTAGCAAAAGTTTCCTATTCAGCGAGGTCGACCTAGATTGCGCAGAATTCGGCTATTAACGCGATCGGAGGGGGCTGTGCCTTATACTATTAATTCTGCAACAACGTTGAATTCAATGTATCCACGATAGAAAGCTTATGTAATCTGCGATACACCACAGTTCTCGACTTGAGTTTGATTCAAACAGAAACATTAATATTTATTCCATCGGTTCATCAACTCGAGAACTCACTGTACTTGTATGAACATCTGCATACTTACTGTACCGGATAATCGCTTTCGTAACCCGTTCTCCGTCTCTACAACTACTCTGTCTCTTTAAGTATGCTGGGAGAATCCGGGCTAGGTGCTCTATTCTTTAGTTTTCCATCGATCGCATCACTGGAAGAACGGCACCATTGGTGCCACACGCGGTGTCAACGTGGAATTCGACCTCTGCGGCCTAAGGGTTGTGGAAGTGTTCCTACGTCACGGTAATACGTATCTTTTTCCAGGAAGAGGAGTAATACTACCTGTCTAAGGGGTGGTATAGAGGCGAGGTTCTTCGACGCTCTGCCAAGGCCATTGTTCGTTTGAAGATTTTTGGTCTGACTCGTCGATGTGACTGTGGTTTCTTTGAACGGGCGGCGATGACTTGATTGGCTGAACGCGCACTGATACTGGCTTTGTTAATGATAACGTCGGCGCTGGTGGAGGTGGAGATGACGGTGATGATATAGGTGGAACTTCCTCTGGCTCCACCGTACTTAGATTTGACATTGAGGTAGAAAGAGTTTGTAATATCTGTGGTTGCGTAGGATCTGGAAACGAACGCGAGCGGAATAATGTATGAACGAACACTGCGTAAATTACATGCAGAAGCAAACATGGACAATTTTTATTTAAACGGAAATGAAAGGTAACTATTTGAAACAATAAATGTTTTACATAATTATTATATATATTGACAAGTATCGTTTATACGATGAAATAACTGCGAAACAAGATACTACCTTATATAGTATTTCAAATAACGTAATGTCAAAAGTGGCCAGTTCTGTGCGGAGTTTGTAAGTCGACATTCATGCAACGTTCGTATAAAGGAGGAAAAAGATGGGAAGTTTGTTTGCATGGAACTCACCTACATCTTGAGGCTCCTGGAAAGCCTCAGGTTCTGGAGGTGGAGTGCGAGACACTGAAACATACCGTGCATAGCATGCTCATTCACAAACTGTACGGCGCAACATCCATCTTTCAGATGCATTTTTATTTTCAGGCTTGCGACGGTAGGATAGTCGAGAGTTAGAGTAAAATAAAGTTTAAGTAAGTTAGAATATACAACCGAATATTGCAAGAAAGAACCAGCAGTAAGATACGGATATACTTACATGACCTATTTGGTTGAAAGACGTCGTGATATTCGGTGACATTGGGTATATCTGCGTACGTTGCTTCGTCTTCTGGGTCAGTTCCAGACTTGTCTGCCTCTTCTATTGTCCGTACGTCTAGTCTATAAGTAGAATAAGTAGTAAATATTTATTCTACAACCACATGCCACTCAATTATTTGAACACGAAACAACTATTTCAACTTACGTATGTTTTTTTAACTCGGGTGGCCTATCCCTGGAAAAACTTTTCTTAACGAATTTCCGTGACTGAACGGAGACCGGATGTCGACACCCCACCCAATGGAGCGATTTTTTGTAAATCGCATACATATAGGACAACGTTGGCAGTGTGGAAACTTGCACCAATCTGAAACGGTTATAGAAATAGGTTTATACATACCCGAAATCTCGGGTACCAAAAAATACGGGTTGGGTGTGGTTCGAGTTTGTTTGTAGTACTTGAATACTTAGGCAAAAGTTTGTAATATTTGGGTACACGAGAGATTGTGATATTTGGGTGAACGAATGTGAATGTTTTCTTACACGCGTATCAATTGTTATCAGTAAATATTGTCTTACCAGCTGGTTCTGAGCAACAGCTATATCCTGTACCTTCACCCAGCCCGTTGGTACTGAATCTAACGTTCGACCTGGTTCCCAGCCGTACACTTTTAACACATCGTGGCAACCAGCAAAAAGACATTCCCCGCCTTGACTAAAATAGAGGCACCTAACCAGAAAATAAAACATTTTCTAGACATTTCGTCGAGGACGAAAGTGACGCCAGAATCCTGAACCAGTTTAATCGAGCCTACATTAATACGTACCGAATTGCAGACGAATGAGTCTGGTCTGTAGATGATACAAGTTGAAACGATTCCAAGTCCCAAAAGTGAACCGTTCTATCCGCGCTGCCACTTGCTAATAAGAATTCATGCGGATGAAATTCTACGGTTGTTGCCGGTCCTCTGTGTTCCGAGAATTCTCTAAGTTGTCTACCAGCTCTTAAATCCCACAACTAATTAAAAAATAAAATATTTGTAAACCATTATCGCTAACGCGTATTACGTAAAATTACGCGTATTACACTAATTGATACCTTGACCATTCCTTCTTCTCCCGCGCTGGCTATCCACTGGCCATCCGGACTAAATTTTAAACTATTCACCATCCTATTGTGCCCTTTGTAAGTGAAGATACAACCTTTCCTCCTAATATCCCACAGTTTGATCGCAGTGTCTAAGCTACCAGATGCCAACAGCTCCCCGTAAGGATGAAAATCCATGCAACGTATGCCTGCTTTGTGTCCTGTTAACGTGCGTGCCAATTTGGCATGCTCCAAATCCCAAATTTTCAATGCACCCGTCTGCGAACCAGCGCATACTAGATCTTCTGTTTGTCCAAATTTTACACATTCTATTGGTGTAGTGTGACCGCTCAAACTCTAAAAATAATATAACTAATTTTGGACCAGTAACAAATGGAATATGATCACAGATGTATAATTTACAATATAAATATAGCAATCTTATTAAATTGGTTTCAAGAGAACTATAAAGCAATACTCCTACTTTGGAATGTCCAGTCACTATAGTCACTACAATATGTACTACTGACTATACAAAAGTGTTCAATGGTTATGATTATGAACAAAATTAGGATAAATTAATATTTAATTTTTCCCATTTATGAGATACAAATCCTACATCTACATCAATTATGATTCATGTTTAAACAAATGATTTTACGGAATAAACAAAAATACCATGATACAATTCTGCTTCCCAACTGCCCATAGATTCACTTTCTTGTCGTCGCCACCAGTGACCAAAACGCGTCCAGACTTGTGACCTAATGCCAAGCAATTGACGTTGGACGTATGGGCAACAAAATCCTCTGTACAGAAAAAAATATTCTTATGCACAGAATGACCTGAACAAAGATGTCAGCTTTCAATGACATTCGCGGCGACAGTGCATTTCCCATTCGTCGAAGGTTATGACCATAATAGGAAAACGCATCGAACAATTCGTCGGTGAATCCCGTCCGACTGATGTGTAAACATAAATTGTTTACCCGTAACGGGAGAAAAGAGCGCCAGAACGGTAATTCGTTGGACGCGTACATCGTGCACCGACGAATTGAACAAAGTGCACGTTTCACGCGAACAGGACAAACACTTACGGAGTTTCCATGACCTCTTCGTGGACGAAGCCATATTCCGGGAACACAGGACCGCGTTGTGCACGACTTATTTGGCAACGACAACAATACGAGATTTCAGTTTGCAGATGCACAATTTTTTTTTGCTCGAGCTTGCGGGTAACATTTTTACTTCGTGTTATTATCTCCGAGCGGTGACGATCGTTCAACGGGGCGGCAGCATCTCGCCGCGGTCTGGTCCTGAATGCAATCCTTTTCCTTGAAATTTCTGTCTGTTTTCAGAAACCGTTCGTTCCACCTCTTCGTCGTATCTCATTTCTTGAATCTGCCTGTCCGTGGGTAGCGCGAACCAACGTGACGTTGAAAAATATCGAAGTTTCTGTTTCTATCGAGATTACGTTCCAATCGATCGCGCCAGATGTCACCAGCTCTTCGATCAATTGAAATCGACCGTAACAAATGTCGATAGTATGTTGATGTAAAGACGGGCGACCGTCGAGTATATAAACGCGCGATAAACCGTTATTGGGAAAGAATATTGCAAGTCGTTAATTATCTCATTGGGCTAAGCCGCATTGTTACGATATAAGCATTCTTATGATATAAGAAGAGTTTGCGTCATACGGTAAACAGTTAAAAGTGAGGTTATGAGTTTTGAACAAGCTATAAGTAGAACTGAAACGACTCTAATGTTTGAGTATTCGAGTATAATTATTCGAGTATCGTTATTTAAACATGTGAGTATTCAAATATTACTATTCGATCATTCGACCGTACGATAGTCAGTTAAAAGTGAGGTTATGATATTGAACGAACTACAAATACAGCTGGGGCTTTTCAAATATTTGAGTATTCGAATGTCATTATTTAAACATTTGAATATTCAGTTATCATTATTCGAATATTGAATATATGAAGTTATTATTCATATATTTGCTCTATGTAAATAATGAAGATACCGATGATGTATTTAAATATCACATCTTGCCATCAGCTGATTCTAGTCACGCTGACTCACGCACACGCACTAAGGTTGTGGTGTGTGAAATCGATGATTTTTAGGAAATGATCAATAATCTATACATACAAATACTAACTATGAACAAAATTCACGTTAACATAAACAAATAGTCTAATACTCAAATATTTCAAAACAAAAAAGTTCGACAATTCCGATGGTAATTAAAATTTAATCTACCGAATAGTCATGAACTATTTGTCGTACAAAAATAATTGTTCCGAAACAATTTGAAATTTTGCTCTTTTACAGAGGTCACTCGTAATATTTTAATTACATCGATTGAATCTATTCGGAGTTGTAAAATGTTTTTACGTTCGCGTGTACTCGCGATCGTAGCTAAAAGATCGATTTATTCCGAGATACTTAAAAGGCATTGCGCGAAGTATGTGCAGGGACAGTCGCCAGAACCTCGAATTCGAGAATACTTTTATTACATCGATCATCAAGGCATGGTATAATTTAATTCTTTATTAGACACGAGATTGCAAACATACAGAAGTAGCATCAAAAATACGTGTATTATAATTTTTCTGCTTCGTGTGCTGTAGTTATTTCTGGATGATGCTCGCATGAAAAACTTTACGTCGTGCTTCAAAGGTTTGCATCGACATTGAAGAAATTTGTTAAATGTTATGATTTGTACGTTATACTAGATATCTGGTTTTAGATAAAAAATTTTTGGCATTCTTTTTCAAGCACTTGAAGAAAAATGTCACAGGACGATATATCCACGACTTTCCGTATGTTTCTCTTTGCGGTCTGGAGAGAAATTTTGTCAGATGCGATGATTTGCCGATAGTGTTCACGAAAGTAATTAGGAAAGAGAATAGCGAAACAGGCAAAGAGGAGGATTGGTTTGGTTATGCCCATGCAGAAGAAATGCTAATGGTATATCCGGTTTCAATAAGCTTCTAAACAATTTTGCAATCGGGTTGATTTTTAATAATAAATTAATTATAGGTGCCGTTTCAACCAGAAAGATTGTACATGAGTGTTCAGTCAGGAAGAGTATATCATCCTGCACCAGAAAAAGCAGGAGGAATCGGTCTAGTGAGATCAAAAATTGCAATTGAATTTAGTTCATTATTCAGTTTTGAGAAAGGTGAAGAACATGGTCCGACTCATTTTCTGTGGAAAAATAAAAGATACACTCTTGATGCAGAATGGTGCAAGAATAAAATATTGCAGGTCACCAGCTAAAAAATAAATGAACTTCAACTTCAATTGAAATAAAAGATGAAATATATGTGGGATCGGAAATCCTCATACCCACAGAAAAGGAATCGTTAACATAGGAATAGTAACGATACGGCGATGGCAAGGTTAGTAGAATGGTTTTGGCCAGTAATTTCTCGATTCCTATATATATATATATGTATGAACAACTTTCATAAAATGTACATATATTTTAGATAATAACAAAGACTTTATAATTTTCTCAAAGTAATAAACTACATTAAGGTAGAGATGAAATATCAAAGATTCTTGCTGTACCATCATCGGAAGTCGTCAATATACTTTTTTCATCTCTGAAAAACATTTAATATTCCATCGCATTTCGTTCAAATTCTATCATAAAAATAAAATAATTCGTTACTTCAACTTACTCGGATATAAATAAATCATAAATGTCTGCTGTGTGTCCTGTGAATGATCGCAAACATTGACCACTTCTTGCATCGAAACACCTGAGAATACCATCCAGTCCTGCTGAAAACAGGATGTGTGTGTTTCCTTTCCACACCAATTTGGATGTACCGTGTGCTTGATCTATTTTACACCTAAGTACCTAAGTAATTTCAGAAGAAATCAGTATGCTGAATAAGGTTACAATCGATTAAGAAAAGTAGTATTACCTGTTTTGGGATATCCCAGATAAAGATTTCTCCATTAACTGTACCAGTTGCGGCAACTTGGAACGCGGGATTTTTACAGAAGGCAACCGCTTCTACCCAGTTGTTATTCCTGTCATCATTATCAACATTTTCACCATCATTATTGACATTCGTAATATTACTTTGCTCGAAATTATACAGGTTTTGCAGAACAGAAATAATCTAAAAAGGTTAATATATTATTTCAATTCTTATAGTAAATACAAAGATACAAATTTACATTACCGTGCCAGTGTTTGCCATGCTAAGTATAGTCTTCCCATCTACGTCCGACGAAATGATTAGATTATTATTTGGGTGACAATCGATATCAGTTATGGTAGAAGAATGGCCTAGTGAAGAAGAACTTGATATTTCGGACAGCGTTTGCAAATCTATTACTTTAATCATTCCGTCTGCATAACCTAATGCAACACGTTTACCTGAAAATTTGCATTCGATTAAAACACGAATTTTTGTAAAAAAAAAAAGCATAATTTTGAGTCAAAATAACGCATACATTGACATATTTTTAAATGGGTAATGTCTCAAAAGAATGTTTTGAACAAGAGTAGATCAGTTTTTGATTGGCTACAAATTGCAATAAAAAACATTTCGAAAGGAGTATCTAGCATAAGAATAATTTAAAAAACAAATACCATCTGGAAATATTGCTCCAACTTCAATTCCATATTTGTAACCATTGGTAAAATTGTGATATTCAGTAGGTACTTTGAACCTATATAATTCTCCATCAGTATTTCCTACAAATAAATTGCTTGAAGTAGGATGCCACTTTAACCACTGTAATAACAAATAATTTTTCAGTTTACTGTCAATCAAAACAATGCAAAATGCAATTACAAAAATTAGAAAAAACCAACCGTCAGATCACCTATATTATAGCTGAGGATTGTTTCATTGTCAGGTACTGTACAAACATAAACAATACCACTCATATCGCCAATAGCTAAGTACATTTCATTTGGACTAAATTCACAGAAGACTATACTATCTGATAGTTTCCTAGCTTTAAAAATAATTTCTCCAGATGATGTATCCCAAACATAAGCTACATTTCCTACACCTCCAGTAACAGCCAATTTTTACTTCTAGTCAGTGATCCGCAAAAGATGGAACCTACAGTTTTAAAGTAAAAGTAAAATCATTTACAATCTTAGTGATAGTGCAACATAGAGATTTTTTTTAACCTGGTTTGTGGCCGGTGAATACACAGATTGCATCTTCCAGAGGCTCTTCGTCGCTTGAGACTTCATCTTCAAAGTTCTCGGACTCATTCGTATCTATCACTTCTTCCATGTCACCCGCGTATAACATATCATCATCTTCCGTTTGGTCAATCATGTCTGACGAAAGTGGTATATCTTTTTGAATCATCGATGCGAATCGAATGTATGGCAGGCCACGTTTGGAAAGGTTATAAATATATTCGAATGAGCAGATGAAACGAAAAAAATATCGATAATAATCGTTTATCGTGTCCAACATAAAAAATGATTATCTACGTTCAAACGATTAGATTAAAACTTCTAATATATCGTTCTTGAACACTGAAAATTCAAATTTCAATTGACAACGTTTCGTTTCCATCACCATTTATCACTCATGAACAAACACCAAGCTATTGGGACTCACCATACTGTTGCGACCTCCGCTGGTATGAATCTGTGTATTATGTGAAGTTAGCTCTAAGACATAGGGATATCAAGGTTTGATGTGAGAGCGAAATTCGAATTCCATTGTAACGGGGAGATTTATTGTAAGCATGCGAGTTCGTAGCGAACAGCACAGCTGGAAGGTTTTAAGCGACACCTAAACGCAGAGAGTTACGAGGGCCTGGGATTGTATTCAAACTTTCCATACTACAGTTGGGCCAGGCAAGGATAGTAAATAGCTTAACTTTTTCTTTCACATCTGCGTGCCAAATTTCGGCGAACGGGCAGGGGCTCGTCTTATAAAATCATTTTTAATTCTGTCCTCACTTCCAAAAATTATCGGTGTCCTGCAAGGGTAAAACTCAGGTCGAGAAAGGCCGGGAGTCATAAAGTCATAAACTTTGTTCGGGCGGCGTCTTCCTGACTCTAAGGGGCCCGCTTACCTACTTTCTAGATGTTTATGTAATGTATTGTTGCGTGACCACGCGAACGTAGCCCCAGAAATATGTATAATCGATAGGCAAATTAGGAGCGACATTCAAACCAACTAGCGTATTGTAATAAACAACGAAATCGTACGCTTTTCAACGTGGGCGATCAAGCTGGGGGAAGGTAGAGAGAAAGGAAGGCATTTCTTAGATACTTAGTTTCTTTTCTAAAGGCTGTGTCGAATTCAAGTTTCCATCATTCCTTTAGTTTATTGTTTAGTTATTTCGGACCGTGCCGAATTAGCTATTTCCGTTAAGAGTTTCAATGGTCTTGACACACAGCAGGGCCTCGCGACACTTCGCTTCGAGTTTCGTTTACTTTCACAAGGGTCATAAATTTTCTTAAGGGTTGCTTAGGCCGCTAGCCTCGTTTTCTCTCTCGACTCCCACGCTCTCTCTCACGCGCGCCCGCTCCAACATGGCCGCGTAACCTCCACCTCCACGCGGCTTGGGGGTGGATCATCGATCTATGACGATCCGGATGGAGGGAGCAAGGCACGAACCCCGATTGGACCAGGACAATCCAGAGGGAGGATCGAGGAATATTCCGGAGAAGGGATGAACATCGAGGACGACGAGAAGATTTCCGCGGAGGAGCAGATCGATTTCGGAAGTCAACAAAATTGTATCTAAAAGTCGAGACGACGACGAATAAATCTTACCAACCATTTTTCGAACTTACATAGTCGTTTGATTTTTGCGCGCCTCGCCGAGCAGAGCGGTTCAGCGCTCCACGGGCACCAACCCACCGTCCTTTTTCCCTAAACCACGATCTCGGGACGCAACAAAATTTGGTGACAGCGGTGGGATTTGAAAAAGAAATTGAAAGACAATTTATTCAATTAACTTTGCCGGCTCGCGAGTGGATCATTTGTGTGTTAAATTAGTGCGAAAGGTACATTCTCTCTCTCACGGGTTTTTCACGGTTTCCCCGTGAGCAAAGGGGCGAATGCCAGAGGTGGGTGGTTTTCAGTGGCCGTGTGAGAACTCCCTGGAACCACATGTACAATTCGATCGGAATCTGACACACATCATCTCTCGACAACGGAGCGGAAACGATCTTTTGGAGTATCCCAAGTACAACGAGGAGCTGCAACGGTGAAATTATCTGAAATCAACGTGCGAGACGAAAAGACAATCAATAGTTCACGTAAGACGTATATTATAAGTTTATATGCTTTCGATTAGGTTTAAAGCAAAGTTGATAGTTAATTAGTTTATTTAAATCGTAATTTTATATCAACAACATGTTACGTAGTCGTAAGGCAATGAGGAGACGTTGGAATCGGTTAATTAGTTTAAATATATCCCGAGAATTTGATGTCCGGGATGTATCCGCTGAAACTCTTAGAGAACCGGCCAATGATTGTATGGTACAACCGGACATTTCAAATCTTTTGCCGGTGCACGCGAGTACCCCAAGGCTTGATTCGCCGAGTTTAGATAATGAATTTTATCGCCCTGAGGTAATCAATGCTGTTAGCCTGCCGTCAGTTGAATCATCTGAAATTTCATATCTATCGTTAAAATTAGCCTCCGACCTGATTCCGCGCTTTGACGGGAAACCTGGTTCTCTACTTAAATTCACTAAACAGTGCCAACTTATCGATTCCCGAGTTAAACCTTCCGACCGTGGAAATTTATTAACTATAATTCGCAATAAGATCGAAGGTCCTGCGGATATTTTAATTTCAAATCGTCCAGAACCAACAACAGTAAGCGAGATCATTGGCCTGTTAAAGAAAGTGTATGCTCGGTCTTTCGACGTTGATCAGATTCACGGCGAACTGAGGGGTTTGCAACAAGGGATATACGAGTCGGTAGAGTTTTATGGGGCTCGGGGCCGTGAAATTTTGAGCCGAGGGTTAGAAGCAGCTAAAGAAAAATTTAACTCCGAACAGCTAATAGGAGCCGCGGCTTTATTAAATCAGTCAGCCGTCACAAACTTTAAACGTGGTCTTCAGAATCAAAATTTGAGACTTTTTATTTCGAATGAACCGGATAAAACATTTGATGATATAGTTAGTATCGCGAGTAGATTGGAACAAGAAATGGCAGACCCCGTAAAGCAATTTTCATCGTCAAATGTTCGGGTTGCTACCGCTAGTATCAGCAATATTAAATGTTATAATTGTGATCAGGAAGGCCATTACCGTTACAATTGTCCTCAACAAAAAAGGAATTTTCATAATCCATCGGCTCCTGAAAGGTTAAGATGTAAATTTTGTAGAAAGACAGGGCATACCGAGTCGCGTTGTTTTAAAAAGGGAAATTACAAAAATACTGGGATGCAACGTGAAACTGTTATACCCAAGCCGCAACATTTAAACTTAAAGGGGGCTCCGCGGGGAAACGCGAAACGGAGCGAACCCCTAATTGCGCGTCCCCAGTTAAACGAACATGCTTCCACTTCGACGTGAAAGGTGTTGGTCGATTGCCTATTTTAGGGTTATCGCATAATTCATTCCATAAGGGAATTGGCAATTTTCTCATTGATACTGGCTCCCAACTTAATCTAATAAAACGTAAAGGCATTATTTCTGGCTTGTTGGTGGATACTGTCGTTAGTTATAATATAGTTGGTATCGATAAAGGAGGTCTTAGCACTCTCGGTGAGGTGATCATCGAAATTTTCGGTATTGGCGTTAAATTCCAGATCGTCAACGATGAGTTTCCGATCTCGGGAATAGGAATTTTGGGTATTCCATTTTTGGAGCAGCAACAAGCGATATTAACATTCAAGGACGTTGTGGCTAATAGTCTTCGGGTTGGGGGGCAGGAATTGCCTCTTCATACAGGGGTTTCAGTTAGTTTACCACCTCGCATGAAAACTCTCCTAACCGTCCCTGTTAGAAATATTGAAAGACAAGAGGGTTATATAAGGAAGTTAGATACACAGCCGGGTGTTTACGTAGGTGAAGTACTGGTCTCGCAAGAGAATGGATTGTTAGGATATTCGCTATTAATACTACTCACGATAGTGTGACTCTTTCAATACCCCCCGTTGAATTAGAAGAGTTTATTGAAATTCCTCCTTCGCCGCGTTCGGCTCGGACGGGAAATCCAAATAAGGGTCGGTCCAAAGCCGATGCTACTAGGCTCGTTCAATTGGCGAAGCTTCTCGATATGCAGGGTTTGAGCGATTCTGAACAGGCTAGTATTTTAAAAATCGTGAATGAATTTCCGTATCAATTTTATCTGCCTTCGGATAAATTAAATTCCACTAGTACAATCAAACATAAAATAGTGACTACGGATGAAATACCTATAAATACGAAACAGTATCGGTTTCCACTAGTTCACAAAGAGGAAATACAAAAACAGATAGACTCACTGCTTGAAAATAGGATAATTCAGCCATCTGCTTCTCCTTATAATTCGCCTGTTTGGGTTGTACCTAAAAAACCTGGCCCTGATGGTAAGCCTCGCTGGCGCATGGTGATAGATTACCGTAAGTTAAATGAGAAGACTATCAATGATGCGTATCCTCTCCCTAATATTTTGGATATCTTGGATCAATTGGGGGCCGCCAAGTATTTTAGTACCCTCGATCTTGCCTCTGGTTTCCATCAGGTCCCCATACATCCGGATTCTAAATCCAAGACCGCTTTCTCAACTGTTAATGGGCATTATGAATTTAATAATATGCCCTTCGGGCTTAAAAATGCTCCAGCCACGTTTCAGAGGTGCATGGATTTGGTTTTGGTTGGTTTACAAGGAGTCGAGCTTTTTGTATATATGGACGACATCGTCATATATGCTGATTCTTTGGAAGAGCATACTCGTAAATTGAGAATTCTCTTGGCTCGGTTGCAGAATGCCGGTTTTAACGTTACAACCCGAGAAATGTCGATTCTTGCGACGAGAAGTTGCCTATTTGGGTCACGTTATCTCTGCCAAAGGAGTGAAACCAGACCCCGGGAAGATCACGGCTGTTAAGTCATTTCCTATTCCAAAAACCAGGAAGAATGTTAAACAGTTTCTGGGGTTAGTTGGTTATTATCGACGTTTTATCCCTCATATGGCAAAAATTGCTAAACCTCTGACACGATTGTTGAAGGCAGAAGTACCTTTTGTCTGGGGTAAAGATGTCAAATTCGCTTTCGAGAGTTTACGTGATATCATTTGTTCGGAGCCGTTGCTCCAATTTCCCAACTTTCAACAGCCATTCCTCGTAACAACTGATGCTTCTAATTATGCAGTCGGAGCTGTATTGAGTCAGGGTCAGATCGGAAAAGATCTCCCAATCGCGTATGCATCTCGGACCCTTAATGACGCTGAAAATAATTATTCCACCATTGAAAAAGAATTATTAGCGATTTTATTTGCAATTGAACATTTTCGACCGTATTTGTATGGCCACAAATTTATTTTAGTCACTGACCATCGACCGCTGATTTGGCTGCACAATGTAAAAAATCCCACTTCCCGTATCATGAGATGGCGTATTAGATTAAACGAATACGATTATGAGATGGTCTATAAACCTGGGAAAATCAATTCCAATGCAGATGCATTATCCCGAAATCCTGTTCTTGTCGATTCTCAAAATATCTTTCCTTTTCCATCTAAGTGCTTGACAATTCATACCGAGACTGAAAGTACGGACGCCTCCCCTCCAAGGCGTTTGCAAAGGGTTGTCGTAGGCGCCGACGATTTGCCAATTGCAATCTCTAAGGAGGTCGGGGACATTGACGTTGACGGTTCTATGGGAGACGAAAATGAACGTTTAGTTGCGGGAGTTTTTCTTGTGGATAGTGAACTTAGTAGTGGGTGTAATGAGACTGATAACGAAACAAATCATTCGGGTTCGGACTCAAATGATAGTGACGAGTATCATACGGCAGATGAGGAAGAGACATTTCCTTCCATAGAAGCATCTCTCCAGGGAGGAAAATCCTCTAAAGACTTAAATACTAACGTAATGAGTGGAGGATCGCTCCGCAGAGGTACGGAGGACATGTTTCGACTCGGGAGTCTGTCGGACATCGGAAAGGCCGACTTTGAAGGCACCCCGCCACAGGCACCGTTAGGGGCTGTCTCTGTATCTCAGGGTAAAAGTGCTCTGCCAGAAATTGGCAACAAGAGCCCCCGTTTCGTGTCGAAAGCGGAGACTCGGCACCTTCTTATTCCCGACTCATTTCGTGGCACTGGCTGTGCGCAGACCAGTTTATCCCGGATGAGGTTGTGGCGGAGTGTGGGCGAGTCTGGTGCTTCAGGAATGACAGAATCAGGTAAAGAACGGACACGATCCTCCGTAGAAAAAGTATATGAAAATGACTCTCATACCCATGATAGGTTCAAAGTTCTCTTGACAAATTTCATTCCACCCGTACAAGCATCCCCTCCTTCTTCATTTCCAAGTATCATTTATTGCAAGGACCATCTTTATATGCGGAAAGACAATCTTCTTCATTTTTTTTCTACTGATTGTCAAGTTTCTTCACAAATCAGTAATGATTTGTTAACACAAGGAAGGTTTTCCATTGGTCAGGTACAATCGTACAATGTTCACGTGGGTGAGGCAATGGTTTTCCCCGGTGGAAGCCAACATATTTTCCACTTATTTTCCAAGGTGAAATCTGCTGAACAACAAAATTTTAGACATCTCGCGTCTTCAATATCATCCCTAAAAAATCTCATGGAAACATTAGGTGTGATGTCCATCAGTTTATCTAAAAGTAACAATAACATTGAGCCTATTGAATGGAATTCTCTTGAATATCTTTTAAAGCAGACATTTAATAGTTCACAATACAATATTACGGTTTGCACTGGTGAAATCATTTCTCCCCCTTTATCAAGAAGACTTTCGATTATTCGGGAATATCATGAGTCTGTAGTGGGTGGCCATCAGGGTGTGACTAAGTTATTCAAAAGGATAAGGGAGGATTTCTATTGGACAAAAATGGGGAAAGATATCTCAACTTTTGTCCGCTCTTGTTCCAACTGCCAAAGAAATAAAATTCTTTCTGTTAAAACTAAACAGCCAATGCGCATAACAGATACCCCTCAGAGAGCTTTCGAGAAAGTACAAATGGACATTGTGGGACCGTTACCTGTGACTAAAAGGGGAAATCGGTATCTGTTGACTCTGCAGGATAATTTGACGAAGCATTCTGATGCTATTCCTATATCAACTATGGACTCCATTACTGTTGCAGTTGCTCTTGCAGAACAGTTTATAAGTAGGTTCGGTTGCCCTCGTGTTATTCAAACTGATCAGGGAAGTAATTTTGTTAGTGAAATAATGAGTAACTTTTGCAAAATATTCAAAATACAGAGAATTACATCAACGGCATTTCACCCTCAATCGTTGGGCTCTCTTGAACGAGCACATCGCGTTTTTATAGATTATTTAAAGCATTATTGTGGAAAAAACTGATTGGGACGATTGGATACGCTTTGGAATATTCTCATATAATACTTCCGTGCATGAAGCTACAGGTTTCTCCCCTCATGAGCTTATTTTCGGTACAAAAGCCATCATACCATCAGAATTTAGTCGCCAAGAAATACCGCGAACTTTCGTTGAACATCTAGATGATTTGTTTACTCGGATCACGACTACTCAGGCTACAGCAGCGATTAACCTAGAACAGGCAAAAGAAAGGAGTAAAATAAGGTATGATAAAAATGCAAATCCCCGTAAATTTATTGTAGGTGACGATGTGTATTTACTTAGAGAACCTAAGACATCTAAGTTTGATTCTAGTTGGCTAGGACCATATAAAGTAGTTGAAATATTTAACGATCTCACTATTGAAATAGCTATAGGGAAAAATAAGACTAAAATAGTTCACGCGAATAAACTTAAGTTAGCCTGTATAAGGCTAGATCCAGTGTAAATAGTTTAACCATAAGTATTAGATATATTGCTGTATTTTTATATGAACTATATTGGATAAGAATATTTAGATAAGTTTGGTTAGGGCGTTTGATAACTCCTGGATGTCAGCTATGCGTTGTACTATAATTGATTTAATATTACCTATATAGTAGTAGAATAACTATATCTTATTACTGTAAAATGTTATGATATAACTATTATTCTTCAACTCGCGCTTCCTGTGTGACAATGGGTGGACCGAGTAGCTCGTTTACCGCGGGCTAGCGCGGGAAGAGGGGGTATAGTTATAATCGTCTATTGTAAAGTACTTATTCATTCAATTTTGCGTACTTAAGTTAGTATTGATGTATTGTTTTCTTTTTGAAAAGTTGTTTCCATTGGAAACATCTTTTGTATATGAAGGGAGGTGTTGCGACCTCCGCTGGTATGAATCTGTGTATTATGTGAAGTTAGCTCTAAGACATAGGGATATCAAGGTTTGATGTGAGAGCGAAATTCGAATTCCATTGTAACGGGGAGATTTATTGTAAGCATGCGAGTTCGTAGCGAACAGCACAGCTGGAAGGTTTTAAGCGACACCTAAACGCAGAGAGTTACGAGGGCCTGGGATTGTATTCAAACTTTCCATACTACAGTTGGGCCAGGCAAGGATAGTAAATAGCTTAACTTTTTCTTTCACATCTGCGTGCCAAATTTCGTCGAACGGGCAGGGGCTCGTCTTATAAAATCATTTTTAATTCTGTCCTCACTTCCAAAAATTATCGGTGTCCTGCAAGGGTAAAACTCAGGTCGAGAAAGGCCGGGAGTCATAAAGTCATAAACTTTGTTCGGGCGGCGTCTTCCTGACTCTAAGGGGCCCGCTTACCTACTTTCTAGATGTTTATGTAATGTATTGTTGCGTGACCACGCGAACGTAGCCCCAGAAATATGTATAATCGATAGGCAAATTAGGAGCGACATTCAAACCAACTAGCGTATTGTAATAAACAACGAAATCGTACGCTTTTCAACGTGGGCGATCAAGCTGGGGAAGGTAGAGAGAAAGGAAGGCATTTCTTAGATACTTAGTTTCTTTTCTAAAGGCTGTGTCGAATTCAAGTTTCCATCATTCCTTTAGTTTATTGTTTAGTTATTTCGGACCGTGCCGAATTAGCTATTTCCGTTAAGAGTTTCAATGGTCTTGACACACAGCAGGGCCTCGCGACACTTCGCTTCGAGTTTCGTTTACTTTCACAAGGGTCATAAATTTTCTTAAGGGTTGCTTAGGCCGCTAGCCTCGTTTTCTCTCTCGACTCCCACGCTCTCTCTCACGCGCGCCCGCTCCAACATGGCCGCGTAACCTCCACCTCCACGCGGCTTGGGGGTGGATCATCGATCTATGACGATCCGGATGGAGGGAGCAAGGCACGAACCCCGATTGGACCAGGACAATCCAGAGGGAGGATCGAGGAATATTCCGGAGAAGGGATGAACACCGAGGACGACGAGAAGATTTCCGCGGAGGATCAGATCGATTTCGGAAGTCAACAAAATTGTATCTAAAAGTCGAGACGACGACGAATAAATCTTACCAACCATTTTTCGAACTTACATAGTCGTTTGATTTTTGCGCGCCTCGCCGAGCAGAGCGGTTCAGCGCTCCACGGGCACCAACCCACCGTCCTTTTTCCCTAAACCACGATCTCGGGACGCAACAGTAACAACCCTGTAGGGAGCATAAAGTAACTCCCTAGTTGGCGCCGATGCCAACCGTCGAGATAGAGGCCGGGGTGCACTAGGGGATTTGTCTCTGGACACTCCCTGGCAGTGTGGCCAGATCGGGCATAATTGAGTGCATCGAAATCGACAACAGTGACGACGAACTTCCTTAGCGTCTAACGGAATGGTGGGGATAGCAGTCATACACTACCGCACGAGCCACGTGTACGTGAGCTCGGCACTTCGCACAACTTCGGCAAATCGATAAAGAACGCTAGTGTGAGCCTTTCCTTCTTGCTCTTGTAAAAGACAAAACAACTGAAATACGACCTCGCGATAAGTGGCATACGATTCCAAGTCTCGACTGCCCCAGCATTTTTACTTTCCGACCTATATGTAAGGTATAAGGAAATTTATAAAGTATCATAATGAAAAAAAATTTTGAAGTTTTTTTTTAGCGGAAATACACGTTGTAGGACCCCCCGATCATATTGTGACTATTGAAAAAAACGATATTTTTTTTGTTCCTATGCTATTAACATGAATGCATTAAACGACTAACAAGGAACCATCGCGAACGGTCCGGCTTCGATTTTGATGAAACTTTGTACACATATAAAGCAGCCAAAAATAATCGACACGTATTTTTTTTTAGCTGCGGTAACTCGAGTTTAAGGGGTGAAACCACCACTTGAAGCTTTGGCTCGAAACGGCTATCTCGAAAACGGAAAGACATACAAAAAAATTGTTAATGGGCGAGGTTGATGGTTTCTTATGTACAATAACATGGTGTTAAAAAATTTAAAAAAATACAATTTGTTTATAACAAAAAAAATTTATTAACTTAATTTTTCATTTTATTGAAATTTTCATAATGACAAAAAATGACGAGCATTTTATTCCAAATCCATTGGTATGCGATTTTTTAAAATTGCCTCCTACAGTTTTGCAGATTTTGATGATTTACATCTTGCGCGCACTTCCATTATGGTAGTAGCCGTTCTAACTTTGATTTTAATGAAGCACTGTAGGCTTGCACTAAATCAAAGTTAGAACGGCTACTACCATAATGGATGTGCGCGCAAGATGTAAATCATCAAAATCTGCAAAACTGTAAGAGGCAATTTTAAAATATTACATACCAATGGATTTGGAAAAGTTCGGCCACCCTTGGGAAAAATTTTAATGGGAGATTCTAGAGGCCAAAATAAGACGAAAATCAAGAATATCAATTTGTTGATTGAGCCTTCGTTAAAAAGTTATTAAAAAATGAAATTAAAAAATTTCAAATCGTTCTAAAAAAATTATTTTCAGTTGCGGGAGTCAATTTCAATCATTTTTGGTCAATATATATACCCCCGAAATCCTACGCACTTTTGAGAAAAAAATTCGAGAATGTGTGAAATTTTTCAACAAAATTAAAAAATTTCAGACCATTATGAAAAAATTATTTTCGGTTGCAGGGGTCGATTACAATCATTTTTGGTCATTACACATTCCCCCGAAATCTTGGGCATTTCGGAGAAAAAAATTCAGTACGGGCGGAACTTTAAACGTTAATAATTTCTTAACGAAGCCTCCATCAACAAATTGGTATTCTTGTATTTTTCCCGATTTTGTCCTCTAGAAGTAGTGCAAGCCTACAGTGCTTAATTAAAATCAAAGTTAGAACGGCTACTACCATAATGGATGTGCGCGCAAGATGTAAATCATAAAAATCTGCAAAACTGTAGG